TGTTCTGTGATGAACCAGAAAGGCACTGAGCTCACACAGAGTGAAACAGCAAAAGTGATTTGGTGACTCTAAACTAGAGCACTAGGGTGCAGTGGGCTGTTAGATATCTTGATCAAGAATCTTTAGGTTTTTTAAAGGTTCTAACACCTTGAATCACACCTGGAAATGTATGATACAGCAGTGCAGGGCTCAGACTGAATCGTCCCACCAATGGAGGTCCCTCAAGACACACGCAGCCTGCCCAGTCATTGAATCAGATCCTGTGTACTCTTGACCCACAGCCGTGAAGGAGCTTTGAGTGCTCATTCACATATCAAGTTTGCCTACTCACGTTCAGATATCAACAGCTTCCCTTGCAGTCCAGTGTCGAGGCTGCAATTTGTACCAGCTGCAGCTTCCGCTTACTCTGCCTAGACAGTCAGAGCTAGACAAAAGCAAAATATAAAATGTCCCTTCAATTCTGCTATGGCTTCAGGACCTTTTCCCCAATGGCTATAGCAGGACCATAATATTCAACATATCCAATAAGACTGACTTCTGGAGTCATTTCAAAAGCCTGTGAGCTGTAAAGAAGTTAAGCAGGAGAGGCAGGATACTAGTTACAATATTATACACCAGACGTGCTGCTCTTTAAAATATAAAAGTAAGAAATTGGCTATTGGTGCTTCAATAATATATTTCGCTACCAGAGCAATACTCCCCTCTCATTCACCCCAACATGCTGTAGTAAGCCTAGCTAAAATGCCTGAGCCTCAGAAGTTAGGAAACCCTGAAACAATGCAATCAATCCTGTCATGCCTGTGGTGAATAATAAAAGTTTATAAGAAATCCACAGCACTTCACGCTGAATGGATAAAAAATAGCACACATTTTTCAGAATGCCTGAAACACACCCCATTCCACTTGAGCAAAGCAATCAATGAAACTATTCTTCACTAAAAGATTTCCATTCTGTTTTGCTAACACACTATATTCAGTATTGATGTGTCTCTGTATACAGTATGCAGACTCTGCAGTACTGGGACAACTCATTCACATGACAGTGATATCACAGTCACCCTGCATTGCTCTCACTTTGCAGAGCTCCTGGAGTTCTTTTATTAAAGCAGCACCCAACTGTGCCAGCAGAGTAAAAGAACTTGTCAGTGTTTCCCACTGAAGACTTCATTTTTAAGGGGCTTTTTTTTAAATGACCATTTTTTCTAAAGACGATGAAGCTGTATTGCAGTTGAGCTCAGGATCTGGATCTACAACTGAACTTCACCAGACTTCAGAGTGTTTGGATCTGGGTATTTGGTTTGACCTATTTATAAGATCCAGGAAGTTCAGAGAAAGGTTTGAAGATTTCCTGTGTGATTGAGGATCTTTGGATTGGGAGGTCAATTTTGGATTCATCCCTGTGCTAGCTGAACTTCAAATAAAGTAAGCTTTGGAGGTAGTTGGGGCACGTAAATGAACCACTCGAGCCAGACAGACTGGGATAGGAATCTTAGAAGATGAGTCTGCCTTGTGAGATTTTCCCTCCCTGACCTAGCCAGAAATACCACAGGCCTTTCTTCAAGGTATTTTGGCTCCTATGGTTGTGGTTTCCAGCTAGAAGTGAAAAGAAAGTTGAAAATGGGGGAAAAAATTGAAACAGTTAACAAAACACTTCAAAAACTTTAAAAGGCTGTGTTTAAAACTACCATTAAAAAGAGTGAACACTCAGAGATTTCTTCTCCTAAAAAAATTCACTGTCACAGCAGAACTTCACTGCGGTAACGGCTGTATACACAAATTTCACTCTGTGATTTGTGACAACAGCCCAGATGGAATTGGGATCTTCCTGCTCCAAAATCAAAGTTCTGTCCCTAGAAGAATCTCTATTACCAGTGCAGGGTCTATACCAGGCTGCTGAGAAATTCTGGAGGCAGTAGTGTATCCTAGTCAGCCAGACAAGCACGGTATGTGCCCTTTTCTGGTGTTCTCATTTCTCATCAGGAAGAAACACTGCATACAAAACTCTCTCTCTCTCTTTTTAACGTAAAACTGACTTAAATTACTAGAGTTGTTTATTATTGAAGCTAAAGAGCAGCTGAGAGGTAGGTAGCTTTGTAGGCTTTTGTTTTGCATTCGTCTAATTAAAAATTTTAAAAAAGCTAAACTTCCTAAAAGGGCATTTTAAAGCCTATTAATTGATAGTGCAGAGAAAAGGGACTTTATTCACTGGAATCCTACGGTGATGGAAAGGCAGGAGATGCTATCATGGAAGGCTCCTAGAACTTGATGTTGCTTGTAGTTCTGGAGCTATCCCGGGAAGTGCTATTATACCCATTTTATAGATGAGGAACTGAGGCATAAAGGAGGTGTGTGGTGGGGTAGGAATGGAATCCTAAGCAGAGGCAAAAGCTCTAACCACTGGATCAGCCTTCCACTCAAAAGCAGCTCTCCTCCATTACTATGCACTAGAAGCCTCTTTGGATCCAGCCCATGGATGTTTTGGATTCTGGCTAAAATTCTCATAAATATATAGAGAAGTTGGAATCCTTAAGGGTAGGAAACAATCCCTGAAAATACTGTAACTATAACTTAGTTCCCAACCCCAACATTAACACAGTCCACAAGCTACATGCTAAGAATGGCACTCTGAAAACGTGCATGTTCTGGAAGGAGAAAGAGATTTTAATCAAAATCATAATTTTATTTCACTCAACCTAGCCTTCCCTGGAATCACATTCCAACTGCCACTTGAAGGTGTGCTTAATATGGACACATTTTGAGGGTGAGAACATCAGCATATGAATGCACAAGCAAAGGGGATATGCCACACAAAGAAGGGGGTGTGTCCAGCTGTACAATCCTCTGACCATATCTTAGTCAACAGAAAGGTCAGTGGGAGTCAGCTGGTCTAGCCAGAAGGGTTTGAACAGTCCTCAAGCTACCTTACTTATACTGTGGGGTCAAAGCACTATCAGCTACCTTCAGACAAGGGAAGTGAACGCTTTGAACTCACGATGGGTGCATCTGAGCTTTGAGCCCCATTTATAAGGACACATTATTTGGATTCAGTATCAGAATAAGAATATTCCACAAGGATCATGATTGCAGCAATGCCATCTGTCCCCTTTAGGCATATTGTTTCTTTATTATTACTGTATGAGAAATATGAACTTAAAAGAAATGATAGACTCGTTGAGCAAAATGTCCAGTATGTTGAGAACAATTTCACCCATTTCAGCAGTTCACCCCATGTATCGAAGGCCCAGGTTGTGCTTATATGGTAAAAATATAAATGCAAGCTTCTCATTTTCCAGGTTTGGATTTTGTACTTGAGTTTATAAGGATGGGATAAACTTAGT